TCAAATAACAATTTTTTATGTTGAGAACAGGAGCAGATCCGTTCCCGAAACGTTCAAAGCAAAGTGAAAATTTGATATTTTTTCTATATACCTTTATTATTTCTCTTCTCCAAACCTTTTTCAATACAAATTGTCACTGACAAGCTAGTGAATTTTTCTTTTAGGCTCTCTGATAGGAAAACTCTTCAAACGCAGTGACATTTTGGGGTGAATCATCTGATTTGTCCCTACTACACGTATATTGAAATGTAATTACACTATTTATGCAGACGATACGGTACTTTTGTATGAAAATAAGAATCCTATCATTTTATAAAATATAATAAACAGAGACTTGATGAAATTTGAAAAATGGCTGCATTCAAACCTCTTATCAATAAATACTGATAAAACTGAATATATGATTTTTCAACAAAAAAATAAACAAAATATAAATTTAAATCTCAGAATTGAAAATGACTCTTTGAAACAAACTAATGAGAAGAAGTATCTTGGGATTTGGTTTGATGATAAATTGAAGTGGGACAAACATATCAAGCTGAATAAAAAAGTTGCAAATATAATTCTATATTCTCATATACTCAGTCGTATTAACTATTTGATAAATGTTTGGGGATACTGTTCAAAAATCAATTTTAATAAAATATCTGCATTATATAAAAAGACATTGAAAGTACTATATCGTATACCATATGATACACCAACAAATCAATTATATAAAATAACTGAATCATTCTCATTAGAAGAAATGTTCAAAATCGAAAGACTGAAAATTACATACAATATCATAAATAAAAGATTGAAATCTATTTTAATTTTATTTTAACACGAAACAATGAAATTCATAATTATCAAACTAGACAACATGGTTTATTTCATCTTGATATCGCTAATACTTCTATATGCCAAAAAAGATTCACCCACGCTGCTCTCTTGGAATATAACAAATTACCAGATAATATAAAAAATTGCAGAATACAATAAAATTCAAATCCCATCTTAAAAAATTTATCATTTCTGAACGAAATAGATTACTTTTTTTTTCAACTTTCGATTCATATTCAAATTGATTTTTGCTCACCAATATGAAATGATTTGTCAAAATTTAATAATTAATGTTTTCAAATATTTTATCATTCATTAGTTTATTATAATTGTATAGTTTTAGGTATTATTGTTAACTATACTTCCTTATACCAGAACTTGATTCTGACTGGAAGTAACATTTTCAATGAATAAATAAATAAATAAATAAATAAATAAAAATAATATTATACAGGCTGATTTTAAAATAAGTGCATATATTTTAAACACTAAGAAAGCTTGAGGTATACTACCGAATAGCACTATTAAAAATATTATTAGAATCAAAATAGATTTGGGGCAAAATACCCTTTTTCCGCCCAGATTTCTACTTCTGTCACAACTATCGTTTGCGATCCGCAGTCGACCGTGATGAACGAAGCGACGTTGCCAATCTACATGACAATTAGGAGATATTAAATAAAATGTATAATCGAGAAAATGTACATGGGGAAGATGTTAACCCTGGTCTTGAATTTCAGAAAGATAATATAAAAACTTTAAAATGGACTCACCCAAGATTTGTACACATAAGCTAGAAAAGCGTATATCTTAACACCTCCCCTTGGAAGTTCTTTTACTGAAAAATCCTTTAGACCCTTCCTTCCACCTCCTTGCATCGCTACAATTTCGTGTCATTCGAGGAGTCTCATGGGCCCCGCACAATAACGACCCGACATAAGAACCATATCATTCAGCTCAATGTTTGAGAAATGCATCGTCACTTTCCAAGCAAATTGTCAGAAACAAAACTTGACATTTACTAGTCAGTGTTGTTCCTGGGTCTGATTTTTTCGTAATAGATTTCCTTGGAAAAAGGTATCAGATTTGTATCGAAAGGTAATAGACTCGAAAAATCTGACATTTGACATTCGGAATGTCATTCTTGTCAAACCCTATCGCACTAATCACAGTTTTGACATAAATATAGAACATAGAACGGAACATAATTATCCGCTGAGCACAGAAATAGATTTTTTAGTATTGGAACATATTTTGGTGCTAATAGCAAATAGTAATAGATTCATGACAAATCGTAATATCGTAAAAATCTTCGTGAAATAGTAATAGGACGCGAACAATCCTAGTTAGTACTGTCAAAGGTCACAGCAAAGAGGAAATCTATGGTCACAGATAGTCAGATACTGCTGTTTTGAGAAATGATGTTGACAGATCATATGATAATAGTTTTGTTTGTGTCGGCTGGTTTGTAAAATAATTGTAAACGTAAAATAAAAAATAAAATAATTGGATGGAATGGACTCGATATTAGTATTTGTTTGCTCTCGGGAGTTTTGCTGTTCGAGCAGGTATGAGAAA